TTGGGGGTGGATTTGATACAGTTCATGAAGCCTATGTTACCTGATAAAACACATGTGGGTTGTTCAGCATGAAAACTCCCCAATGGAATCATTCCCTTTGGAAATGTTAATAATTTCTTATATCCAAACCAAACTATACTTTCTGGAAAAGGGTAGAAATATGCAGATAGCAATTTCTATGCTGTTTATACTGTTTATTATAAACAGAGCATTTCCTTGTGGGGAGAAGATAATTGAACATTTAATTTTATTTTTACTAAATACATATCTATCTATCTATCTATCTATCTATCTATCTATCTATCTATCTATCTATCTATCTATCTATGTGTGTGTGTGCGTATATATGTGTGTATGTATTTATGTATATATATGTATATATGTGTGTGTGTGTGTGTGTGTATATATATATATATATATATATATATATATATATATATATATATAAGAAAATGGACAAGGTCCGACAATTTATTTATTAAAGACATATTTTTATGTTTAACGTTGTTATTTCATAGATACAAATATTTAAGAAATTTGTTTATGATAAACAGTATTAAATAATATTTACCGAATTCAGAAAATGTTATTTAATACTGTTTATCATAAACAGAAATTTGTTAAATTTCAGTATCTATGAAATTAACAACGTTAAACATAAAAATATGTCTTTTCAAATATATATATATATATATTTAAAAGAAGAGAGAAATCACAAATGATTTTGGTTTTAATGTAGATTTTTAAAAAAAAATATATTATGCTTTATTTTCCATAAAGCTTAATATATTTAAAAAAAAAATACACATTAAAACCAAAAACGTTTGTTGTTTCTCTCTTGTTTTTAATATATACACTTTTCTCTTGTTGGAACTACTATAACTTCTTCCCTATATATATATATATATATATATATATAGACACATACACACCCATAAATAGTCTAAGCTGGATTCTTATTCATAAATGAGGTTTTGGTTAGCTAAAATAAATATTGTAATATTTTAGAATACTTATAATCATTGAAAATGTAAAAAAAAGAAGAAAATGAGAAATAATTTATAAATTTCATTGAGGTTTTTCTGACTCTTCACTCAGTGAAAACTAGAATGACTCAAATTATGAATGTGAATAATAGCTATTAGTTTAATTTTTCAGATAAATATTATTATAATGAAATTTAATTATAAAAAATTAAGTGACTTCAGAGTTTTTACAGACAGATAAGTAGCCAATTTTTAATCCTTTGAACTTGTGTGGTCTGTGTGAAAGTTCATATGCCTGAGTATCCAGTTTATTAGCCAAGGTTATGTGTGTTTTGTTTATAAAAAAAACTACAATGTATATCTATTTTCTGCAATTTAACTTTTAGCCATAAGTATTTCAACCAATCAAAACACATCAGATATAAATGTTATAACAAAAGTGTGCAGTTTGAAAAAGAAATGCTTTGTAGCTAAAAATGCCAAGCTAACTGCATATGACAAGGGCCAACATTGAAGAAGAAAAACTATTTAGAAAAACTGCTTTGAGAGAAAGAATTTGCTGGTATAACCAACATCACAAAGAACAATATTAACATAAAAATTATATTTATAAAACCATGTGTTTCTTGCGCTGCATTCTAACATGAAAAGTAGGGTGACAGTTATATATTTCTAGAGTTCAAAGAATTAAAAATTAAATAAAGAATTTATTATAATTAAAGGTTGTAGTAATCATATAGGTTTTTGGTATAAAAATCTAATCAGATGAAAAAAAGTAAAAGAATTATCTATTTTTAGATAGGTTTGCCTACTGCCTGGTTTACAATCCTCCATGGTCTTTTGAACAGGAGTAGAGTCTTATCCCTTGTTTCCTGTTCCTTTTAAAAAAATCTACTTTCATTCTATACTTCTAATGTCTCTGCCTAAACACTGAAATTTTATTTACTAATTATTTTTTTTCTCCTCAATAGGACTAGATAGGTTCACATATTATCTTGTTCATGCACCTCTTCTTTTGAACAGGAGTAGAGGTTTATCCTTTGTTTTCTGTTTAGGACTGGGTTTCAATTTTCAAAATAATTCACTAAATGAGTTTTTTTTTCATGCTATACTTAATAATATGCTGATCTACTGTAATCCCTCTCAATCCTTATTGATATTTGATTATAGTCTTTCATAATCTTCTAATCATTGCAGTTGACTAGTGAAGATAACTGTCTTCATTAGCTTCTCAAAAAAATAATGTCATAATCCATTCTCCATGTTTTATTGCTAACTTGTTAGTCAATAATTTTAGCATGATTTTTAAAAAACATTTCTAATGCTAAATAAAATATATAATTGTACCTATACTCTAAAATGTTGCTTAGGGCAGATACAGAGTGAGTACTACCTGAGTAAAGAATGACTAAACAGCAAGTTGAGTCTGAAAAATATCATTTTGGCTGTTTTATACTAGCCAAATAAACAATTTGCTAATGCAAATAAGTGAAGGAAATTATTACAAATATACTTGATTTGATTTATATCATTTTTCTTTTCTATTTTTTTTCTTTTTTGCAAGATTTTGGTTTAGTTAAAAAATAAACATCCAGATTAATCAGTGATCCAATTAAATGAAGTTCACATAAGAAAAATTAAATAAAAAGCTTAATCGCACTATCTTTTAGGGCTCTTTCATAGTCTTTCTTAGCTTTGTTAAATATGGATTCATTGGAGGAATAGTCAGAAGGCCTGCGGTTAATCAATTTTGGTATCTGTTTGATTATAGAAGGCGGGTGGTTGGAAGATGTGTGTATATAGAGTGGTTTATCATTGGGTTTTCTGTATTGTTTATATCTGCCTTTTCTTAGGTTGAAGGTAACATCTAGAAAATCTACTTTGTTTAGGTAAAGTTTTTATATCTATGTCGAATCCCTTATTTTTGAAAATCTTTATTATTGCTTTTCTAGTTTTGTCTGTGTTTTGTTTGTTACAGTTAAATAAACTGCCTGTATTTCTTTCTTTCTATGTATGTATATATGTATCTATCTATTGAGCTATCTGAGTCTGTTCATTTATATATCTCTTCCTCTCTCTCTCTCTCTCTCTCTCTCTATATATATATATATATATATATATATATATATAATAAAAAGGCTTAAACACTAATATTCCATGGTCATAATTTATTCTATTGGAATCGTAAATACGATCCAATTCATCAGACCTACAAATTCAAAAGGAAAACAGAAAAAAACAACTCCAGAAATAAAAACAGAATTTAGAGAGAGTGTAAGTATGAGGAGGAGGGAGATTAAACCTTAACAGAGAGATGTATATACATGTATATGTTATTGTGTGTATTCGCATATGTTTTTAAACATAGAAATATAGGTCCTTGCTGGATTAGATAATCGTTATATTTATCTTTATATATTTATATTTGATTTGTAACCTGTAGTCGATATTAAATTTGTCAAATTTTCTCAATTACAAAGCGGCCCTTTAAGTAAACGCAATTTTACTTTCCTTCGTCCCATCTCTCTCCCCCCCTCTTATTCTAACATTAGATTGTCTATGGTGTGTGTATGTCACCATGAAATGTATCTTTATGCATTAGACATCCGTCAACCATTTTTTTCTCTTAATTAAACCCCTTCCACACATCTCCCCTAAAATTCTCTCTTTTAAGGTTTAATCTCCCTCCTCCTCATACTTACACTCTCTCTAAATTCTGTTTTTATTTCCGGAGTTGTTTTTTTCTGTTTTCTTTTTAAATTTGTAGGTCTGATGAATTGGATCGTATTTACGATTCCAATGGAATGGAATAGTGTTTAAGCCTTTTTATTATATCCTTACTCTGTCCTAGACATTGAGTTCTACCTGGATTCTTCCTCTTGGAATTTTTATTCTAAAAATATACATGTATGGGTATTTATTATTTTGCATATGTATTATCTATCTGATTCTATCTATCTATCTATCTATCTATCTATCTATCTATCTATATATATATATATATATATATATATATATAAATAATAATAATAAATTATCTCTTTTTATTTTATTTCAGGAAACAAAAAAACTCTTGTTTAATTAAGAAGCAACACAGAGATTGCAAGGAAAAAAAGCAATTAAAATCATGCCAGACATGAAAGAAACAAGCTTTTATCATTCATTGAATGAAACCAGCAATAGAATGAAAGAAAGGGTGGAGCGGGGGTTCTTTGATAGATATATAGAGAAATCTAAACTTAGTATTGAACAATAAAAAAATAAAGTAGATAACATACCTAGTTAAACAGTGAGGGGAAAAATTATACATAATATATATATATATATATATATATATATATATATATATATATATATATATATATATATATATATAATATATATATATATATATATATATAAATATATATATATATATATATATATATATATATAAAAAGAAAAGGATATGGGCATTGGTAACTATTTATATATATATATATATATATATATATATATATATTCAAAGAAAGACAGATATTTGGAGAAATAATATATATATATATATATATATAAAGAGAGGAAGACACAATTATACATACATACATATATATATTCATTTATATATATAAGAAAGTGAGAAGGATAAATGAAAAAATATATGTATTAAGAAATCTGTGCGAAAAAATATGAATACATATAAATATACAGATTACTAGTATATTTATATACACACACACACACTCATAAATATTTTTTTTTATTAATCTAAGCTTACAAAATATTAGTTCCATATTTACACTATATACATATATATCCACCTAGCAAACTACATTTGTACACATTCTTAAATGTGTATGTATACATACTCACCTAAACTCAATTTGAATTTTTTCAATATACCATGTTCCTAACCAAACATCGTCCGTTACCACCGGACGCTGTCCTCTCAGATGCCACTGATCGACTGCCCCATGCTGGGAGTCTTGTACCGCGTGTCATTTTACGACGGCTTGATCTTTCACCATCTCCTGCTCAGTTACAGTTACAATCACAAACACTGCTGCAGTCACCAGCCAAACGCAAACGGAAGCATAAACCTTCAGCAGTATTGTCCACTACAGTTTTGACAACAGTCTCCTGAGGAAGATGAAGAGATAGAAGAAGAGATAGAAGAAGAGGAGGAGGAGGAAGATGAAGAAGTTGAGTTGATGAATACTGTTGAGACATCAAGCTGTGCTGTGGTAATTTCCAGTGGTAGCCGTGGAAGTTTGCGCCATGAAACATGTCGTTTAGAGACAGTTACCATGGATACTAGAGACCAGGATGATACTGATCGTTTTGTTGCTTATCGGCTGTTACCACCAGGAAATCATGATGATATTATTGATAATAATGATAAGAATGATAATAATGAAGATGTTATTAATAATCAAAATAGAAATAATACTACTACTGCTACTACCAATAATAACAATAATAAAGAAAGTGATATATGTAATAGTAACAATAACGATGATTGCGATAATATGAATAATACTGATGATATATCATCAGGTTCGCGACTTCGGAACATTGTAATTGTTTTAAAAAAAGAAGTCACTGCGAATCGAAGAGGTCGAAGGCCCAGAGGTGGTCGAAAGCGGCGAAGGCACACATTTTCCGGTGACGGGGAGGAAGGATACGTGAAGATTAGGAAGGATGGTGACAAAGGATATCTAAAAATAAAGAGGGATGAAGCTGATGAAGGAGAAGAGGAAAAAGAAATTATAGTTAAAAGAGAAAGTGATGAAGAAGAAAACTTATTGAAAGATGTAGAAGTAGATGAAGAAGAGGGACAAGAAAAAAATAAAGAAATAGGGAGGAGAAAAACAAAGAAAAAAGATGAGGAAGAAGGAAAAAGAAAAAAGGCTAAAAAAAAGGATGAAGAAGAGAATTTATTGGGGGAAGAAGAAGCAGAGGAAAGGAATGAAGAGGTAAAAAAGAGAAAAATAAAAAAGAAAGATGATGATGAATATTTATTAAGAGAGGAGAAAGAAGAGAAAAGTGAAGAAGAAATAGGAAGAAAAAGAAAGTCAAAGGAAGAGGAACAAGAGAGTTTACTGAGAGAAGAAAATGATAATGGTATTTTGGAGGAAGGTGAGGAAATGTTGAGAGATGGTGATGAAGGAGAGGAGGTGCTACTTAGAGGAGAAGTGGGTGAGGAAGAAGAAACATTACTGAAGGAAGGAGATGAAGACACATTACTGAGGGAAAGGGATGAAGAAGAAACATTGTTGAGAGAAAGGATTGAAGAGGAAGAAAACTTATTCAGAGATGGAATAGAGGAGGAGGAAGAAGAGGAGGAGGAGGAGGAAGAAAGTTTATTTAAAGAAGATGAAATTGTGGATGAAGACACTTTATTAAAGGAAGGAGAGCTGCCCACCAAAGAGGTCAAAGATACTACTGTAAAAGAGAATAAAAAACACAAAGAAGGAAAGAAAATTGAGGAAACAACTATGATCTGTGGTCAGACAAAAAAAATTTCTCAAAATTGTCACAACCAGGGTCACTTGGATTGCCCGCAGGAATCACAGGATGATTGCCTTCAAGAGGTACAGCATGATAACTTGATAATTATAACATCATGTAACTTATTGTTGATCACAACAGGTATCGTTCTGCTCAAAGGTCACGTTCAAAGTCTTTGGGCAAAATTCTCATTGTTAAGTTTGGCCTTTTTTAAAATCCTCCAATGTCCTAGTTGTAGGGAAAGGAAGAATTGTAGAGGTTCGAAAAGAGAACTGAGGCAACAATATAAGAAGACACAACAGAAGATGGTGAAGGTGAGTATCTCTTTCTCTTGATTTCTGTGTATATATATATAGGGGGGGAAGAGGTTATAGTTGTTCCAACAAGAGAAAAGTGTATATATTAAAAAGAAGAGAGAAACTGCAAAAGTTTTTGGTTGTAATGTAAATTTATTTCCATTTTTTGTGTTTTTGTCAGCATGTATATGTATATTCCCTCTCCATACACACATACTGTTATTATAAGGAATTAGTATACACATATATACACACACACATGCACACACTTACTACGTTGTGTAGGGTTCACATGTGTGCCTGTGTGCAGTCTTGTTTTGGCCAATATGTGCATATATATATTATTTTTTGCATATTATTTTTTTCAATATTGCATACATACTATTTATAATTAATTAGTTATACATACACAAAGAAAAATATATGTATACATAACATTCAGTATATTACACATATCCTAAGAGTCTAAAAATAAAAGGGTTTAATGATATGCCTGTGAGTAGTCTATTGTTTTTTGCCAATATGTGTAAAATATTCATGACAATACCCACATGTTGAAATTTGTGTGCATTTTTGTGGTTTGACCATTATTTTTATATTAAATTTGCATGTGTAAAACAATATGTTTGGTTATTTAAACTTAGTGCTGGTTTAAATTTGTTTATGAAGTTTCTTTATGAATTCTGAATTCTATAATAATGTCAAAAAAAATAAATTACCTTTTTTTGCATTTTCATGATTCCTTGTATTGTTTCTTGGTTAAAAAAATGAGGTTAATATATGTTTCAGGTTTTAAGATTGGCGTTTGCTTTCAAATTATTTTTTAAGCAAAATTTTCTTGTATATTTTCAGTTTGTCATTATTCCTTAATTAGGTCTATTTTTTTTGTAATTTCTGTAAATAGTTCAGGATTGTTCTTGTTGTATGTTAAGACATATGCTATATATTTTGTTATACATATTATATTCTTTATTTCGCTAGTTAGTCTAAAATATTTTTTGTGAGTTCAAAACCTTTGCTTTATTAGTTAAAAACAAAGCCTCATTTTTTTAGAGTTTTATGTAGTTGTTATAGGTGTTTTTTTGGAGTTGTTTTATAACACTATAGTTCAAACCCTATAATTAGAAGATAATCAATGATTTCAATAGCTTTTTAGAAATGACTCTTGAAATGAAGCTATTGTTGAATGTCTGTAGGTTTGTAAGATATTTGTGATTATGTGGTTGTTTTTATTTTATAAATTAAATCTAAAAAAGAAAATAATTCGTTTTGTATATTCTTGGGTGATTTTGATTTTTGGGTAGTAAGTCGAATTGAGAAAATCAGAAAATAAAGCAATCATCTAATTATCATTTCAAGATTTAGTGAAAATATTAAAAGTTTATTTTTGTAAATATTTTGTTATATCTATCTTTTCATAGAGGTTTTTTCTAGATATTAGCTAATGTTAGTGTGGCATATGTTAATGCAAATTTTGTTCCCATTAATACCTAGAATTTGGATATAAATTTTTCTTTCAAATTCAAAAATAGTTTATTATTTAGAATTAGGTCTAATACTATCCATAATGAATTATTAGTGAAAATGGAATGTATCAATTTCTGGATGAAATTTTCAGTATAAAAACCTAAAACACATATTAACCTCATCCAAATTTAACCAAAGATCTTTAATATAGGAAGTAACAAAATGCACCAAAAAATATGTTTATTTTTTTTCATCATATATTTTGGGGAACAGTTATTCTTGTTTTCAAAATAAAAAACAACAATCATGATAAATAAAATTTAAACTGGAACTATAAAAATGGTCATTTATGGTTTTTTAATGTAAAAATGTATAAGTTATATATGGGTATTATATATACAACTAAACAATAGGGTCTCCAATACATTAAAGAGCATAAAATTATCCTGGACAAATTATTCCTTACTCTTTGTTCAATACAAAGATCTAAAAATGAAACTAAATATTAATTCTGAAAAAAATTGTTTTTTTACAAAGTTTGATTATTCTTATTGACACATTAAACCAATTTAAAGTGGAAATTAAATAGATCATATCCCCTCATGCAAAAGCATACAAATGCACAGAAAATGACTAAATTCAGTGGTTTATCAAACCATTGAGATAATGCACATAATCACATGTGGGTATCTGTGGATATTTTGTATTTATACAGCATTGGAAAAAACAAAAAACCTTTCAAAAAAAAAAATAAAAAGGAACACAAGGAATAAAAAAGTTGTGAATATGTATTAAATAATATCATTTTTTTGTGTATTATGTATATAACTATATAAATATGTGAAAAGGATAATACATTGATTATATATATTAAAGTATGTTCAAGAATGGTGTAAATCATATCAAATTAAAAAATATAAATAAAACATATTGGCCAAAACAAAATGCTTCATTTAGATCATGAAAAAACAATACAACAAAAATATGTGCAATAGTATGTATTTTTTGCAATAATCTAAAAGATTTTATAAATATCGTAATGATAAGACAGTTGTATGTATTAAACCTTTTATATGATTATAGATAAATATTTTTGATAAACAAAAAAATTAAAATAGATCAAAAAGAACACAATTTTATTAAAAGATAAATAAGATATATCATAATTTCTTTGACCAATCTTAACTGTTTTAATACCTTTTCCAACAGAATAAGTTTTTTTCTGCCAGTTCAATCTAAATTCAATTGATTTTATTTGCAATTTCTGAAGAATTTCTAATATTTTCATGTTTTTTAATAAAAAAACATAAGGTGCTGAATTCTTTTAATAATATGTGAAATATTCAAATTGTTTTTTGATGAAGGTCAATGAACCAGAAACCTTCTGTAGCAAAAATTATCCAAAAATAAAGCATTTATATTTTTTTTGGATTATTTTAATTTACAACTTTTGTTAAAAACAGTTTCTCCATTCCTTTTATGCATGTATTCAAATGTTTTGGACTAATATAAATAAAAAAATTTTATTATCAATTTATTTTTTTTTTTATCAATATTATTTTTTTTTTTTTTTTTAGTTCTTGAATTTATTTTCTCATCGCCTGTTATATCTTATAATTAATATATTATAAAAATAATATATGGATTTTAAAATTATGCTTGAGATATATATTTGACATTTCCGTTTATATAAGGGCTTTATGGAGCCCAATCCGAAAAAGATATAATATTTTGCCAGAGCAAAGGAGAAGAATTTTTTTATATTTCAACTGGAGGGAGTATGAAAATTAAATTTACTACTAAAGAGATAAATGGTGGTGCTTCACTCAAAAATTATTATTTTTTTTTTTAAACATTAATTTATTGATTCAAAAAAAAAAAAAGAAAAAAAGTTTATAGAATTGTTCTAAAATTTAAATTATTTTTTATTATTATATTTGTGGTTATTAATAAGAGAGAAAGTTCAAATAAAAATGTGTGTGTGTGTGTGTGTTGTTTTAACATTTAAAATGGAAACTGTTTTTTTTTCATTTTTTATTTAAAAATCACTTTCGACTTTGACTTCAGGTAATTTTTTCTGATGTCTGTTAAATAAATCTAGATAGATATTGTGTGTTAGTGAGAAATGAAAAAGGCTTATATTAGATATTTTCGGGGGAGAAATTGTTTGAATTTTTTTTTCTCTTTATTCTTGACAAATTTTTAAATTTTAAATTATTTGATTGTTTTTATTTGAAAATCTTTTTAATTTTTATTCTGACTTTAATTTAATTCCATGCGTTTGGTGTGCCGAGGGGCGAGCATTATCTTGGGAAAACATTTTCACTTTACGTTTTCTTTTTCAAAATTTTTGCCTCCTCTTCGGATTTAACGGTTATTTAAATTTTTTGTTGTTATTTTTTTTTTCTTCAAAGAATTTTGGGGTTTCATAATTATTTACTGACCAAAATACTGAAAGCAATGACAATTATTTGATTAATACTATTTAATTATATTATTATTATTATTATTATTATTATTATTTTTATTTTTTTGATTTCTGGCGTTTACACATTTCTTTCCGGGTCCCGCCCAGAGGACCTAAGGTTAGAAATGGCATCATGACACTTTCCACTGACAAAAAAAAAAAAAAAATTAAATTACATAGATAAAAAGCCCTTCGTAAAGTGTGGGCTGTACTTGTCAGAACAATTTTTTGTATCTCCTTGAGGCATGGACTTCCAGGAATCCCTTCAATTAGTCTACTGGAATCTTTTCCAACCAGTCCTAGGGCTCCAACTACAACAGGGATTGTTGATGTTCCCATATGCCACATTTTTTGAGATTTCTATTTCAAGGTCCTTGTATTTTGACAGCTTTTGAATATCTTCAAAGATACATTGCAGTCAGCAGGGACTGCCATATCAATAAGGAGGCACCGTTTTTTTGTTTGTGGTCTTTAATAACAATATCTGGGCGGTTGGCTTTGTTTGTTCTGTCAGTGTGTATTGTGTAGTCCCATAGAATTGTAACAGGTCCTATCTCCGTAACCGGGTCTGGGTGGTGTCCATACCAGTTTCTTTCAGTTTTCTTCCCGTAGATGTTGCAGATTTTCCATTGCAGATATTGGCTCACTCTGTCATGCCGGGTTTTATATTCAGTGGGTGCCAACATCGTGCAACCTGATACAAGATGATCAATTGTTTCTGGATATTTATCACAGAATCTGCATTTTGGGCTAACACAATATTTTAGTATATGTGCTTGATAATTCCTAGTTAACAAGCATTGGTCCTGTGCAGCAAGGATAAAACCTTCAGTTTCAGCTTTCAACCCTGCACTACGTAGCCACTGATGGGTACAGGCTTTGTCTACGTCAGCTTGTTTGGCACGGACAGAGTATTGGCCCTGAAGCGGTTTATCTTACCATTGTTTCTGTATCTGGTCGGT